CCCCCCCCCCCCGTTCTCTGAAGCCTTTTTCAAACTGTACCTCTCAGTTCTCTTTAATCAGATGCCTCCCCTTCTCTGCTTTTATCTCGAAAACTCTCAGGACAATACTGGCAGGTTCTGGGGGGCCCGGTGTCCAGGCTGAGCATTGCAACAGGCCACTCGAGGGTGGGCACACACACCATGGAAGTGACTGTCTACCACAGACGGGGGCCCCAGAGCTACGTCCCCCTGGCTCATTCCAGTTCAACCTTCACCATTACTGGTAAGAGCTTAGAAAGGAACAAGGCCAGCCAGGCAGACGGCATGAGGTGGGAAGGCTGTCTTGGACTAGAAAGAGGAAGTCAGTGCCAACCTTCAAAGGGGAGGGGCAGAAAGATCTGGGCAGAGAAATGTGAGACAAATAGCCACCTGGCTAGTCAGCTTGTGTGTGAAGAACATGGTTGTGGAAGAGGTGTGACTCAGGCCTGGTTCTTGATTCTTCTGGCTCCAACCCCAGACCAGGTCCCCTTCTCTGTGAGTGTATCCCAGCTGCAGGCCTTGGATGGAGAAAACAAGCGCTTCCTGAGAAATCAGCCTCTCATCTTTGCCCTTCATCTCCATGATCCCAGCGGCTATCTGGTTGAGGCTGACCTCTCCTACACGTGGAATTTTGGGGACAACACTGGGACCCTGATCTCTCGGGCAGTCGAGGTCACTCACACTTACCTGGAGTCCGGCTCAGTCACTGCCCAGGTGGTATTACAGGCTGCCATTCCCCTTAGTTCCTGTGGTTCCTCCCCAGTCCCAGGTACCACAGACGGCTACATGCCAACTGCAGAGGCATCTGGAACCACATCTATACTAGGGACCACTACAGAAGGTGTGGGTACTACAACAGGCCAAATGCCAACCACACAGCCCTCTGGAACCACAGTTGTACAAATGCCAACCACAAAGGGCATAGCTACTACCTCCAAGCAGTTGCCAACCTCAGCAGTCCTAGATACCACACTGGCTGAGATGTCAACTGCAGATGGTAGAGGTACCACACCCACAAGGCCTGCTGGAGCCACAGATGCACAAGCAACGACCACAGAGTTGGTAGAAACTACCACTGAAGCGTTACCCACTCCTGAACCTGAGGGTCCAGATGCCAGCCCATTTCTGCCTACAGAAAGTTCTACAGGTAAAAATACGTGAAGGAGGTTCTTGGAGGTGGGTTATTCGTCAGTTCTCTACTCTTAAGTCTTAACCCAAGATCCAGATGCTAACCAGTACTTTCTGTAGCATTGTGGCCGCCTCGGAATTCTCACTAGCTCTAAAGTCTCCAGAGTGTCTCAGCCACATAGAAGAGATGTAAAGGTCAGGAAATGAGTCCTCCCCACCCCCCAGCCACAAGGAAAGAATGAACTGTGTGTTTTTGTTTTTTTCCTCCAAGGATAACAGTTAGGAAGCCAAGGGAACAGCCTATGGGCATTTACAAAGCTCTATCACATGTTCTGTTCAAGCATAAATGCAGACATTGCTTCAGGTTCTGACACCCTGATTCTCCATGTCCCACTCCTGGATTTCTACCCCAAGGCAAAATAAAGGAGTGAGATCTGATGCTGAATGGATTGACACAGGCCAACTGTGTCAGGACCTTAGCCCAGTGTGATTCATGTTTGAATCATGTGATTCAATATTTGGAGCCTCTTTTTTTTTTTTGGCCATTTTCTTCTTCATTAAAAATAATTAATGAGCTGGGCGTTGGTGGCGCACGCCTTTAATCCCAGCACTCCGGAGGCAGAGGCAGGAGGATCTCTGTGAGTTCGAGGCCAGCCTGGTCTCCAAAGCGAGTGCCAGGATAGGCTCCAAAGCTACACAGAGAAACACTGTCTCAAAAAAAAAAAAAATTAATGAGCCAGGCATTGGTAGCACAAGCCTTTAATCCCAGCACTCAGGAGGCAGAGGCAGGCAGATCTCTGTGAGTTCAAGGCCAGCCTGGTCTACAGATCAAGTTTCAGGACAGGCTCCAAAACAATATAGAGAAACACTGTCTCCAAAAACAAAACAAAACAAAATTAATGTGTATGGTGTTTTGCCTGTATTTATATTTACCACTGTATTTATATTGGTGCAGGCATCAGATCCCTTTCCCTGGATGTGGAGATACAGATTGTTGTAAGCTACTATGTAGGTGTAGGGAATCAAACTCAGTTTCTCTTCAAGAGTAACCAGTACTTTAAACTACTGAGGCCAGGTAGTGGTGGTACACACCTTTAATTCCAGCACTAAGGGGCAGGCAGATCTCTGTGAGTTTGAGGCCAGCCTGGTCTACAGAGTAAGTTCCAGGACAGGCTCCAAAGCTACAGAGAAAATGTGTCTCAAAAAACCAAAATAAAACTACTGAGCCATTTCTCCAGCCCTGGATTGTCTGTATTCTCTTTCCTTGACTATGTGAGGAAAAAACAGCATTTTTTTTTTTTTCTCCACGACAGGGTTTCTCTGTGTAGTTTTGGAGCCTGTCCTGGAACTAGCTCTTGCAGACCATGCTGGTTTCAAACTCACAGAGATCTGCCTGTCTCTGCCTCTGAAGTGCTGGGACTAAAGGTGTGCACCACCACCACCACCACCACCGGGATTTTTTTTTTTTTTCTAGCATAACTTCCTTATATATAAAACGAGGCCTACCAGATCTTGGCTGATTCAAAGCTAGTCACTCTAGGAGTCTGTAGCCTTGGCTGTAGTTGGAACGATGCCTGCTTGGTCTTTGTCTCCAAGAGTTTATCTCGTGACTTTACACCCACAAATCTTCTCCTGCCAGGGTCTGTCACCCCTCTCCTGGATGGCATAGACACCTTAATGCTTGTGAAGAGACAAGTTCCTTTGGATTGTGTTCTGTATCGATATGGTTCTTTTTCCCTCACCCTGGACATTGTCCGTGAGTCTTGCCTTTATTGGGGACCAAGGAAGGGGCGGTATAAGCTGCCAGGACTGGCCAGTAGTAGCATAACTTGTGAGAAATTGCTTGAGACTACCCTAATGGCAGAGATAGTATTGGGAGAGCATCTCTTGGGCTTTCTTGTGTATGGTCTTGTTAGAGGAATGCTAACTTACAAAGTTGCAACCTCACAGAGGGTATTGAAAATGCTGAGATCCTGCAGGCCGTGACATCCAGTAAGGGTGATGCGTTTGAGCTGACTGTGTCCTGCCAAGGCGGGTGAGTGTCCTGCTGGCTGCCCTGTTGACTCTTTGGAGTGACTGTCATTCATTCCTTCTGTTGTTCTGCCCATTTGCAGATCTCTTGATGCAAACTAATACTCTTTCAGGCTACCCAAGGAAGCCTGTATGGACATTTCATCACCAGGGTGCCAGCCCCCTGCCCAGAGGCTGTGCCAGCCTGTGCCACCAAGTCCAGACTGCCAGCTGGTCCTACACCAAGCTCTGAAAGGTGGCTCCGGGACCTATTGCCTCAATGTGTCTTTGGCTGATGCCAATAGCCTGGCAGTAGCCAGCACCCAAATTGTTGTTCCTGGTAGGTAATAAGACAAGAACTAGGAGAAAGGGAATGGACAGAGGATAGTTAGGAGGGGAACAGATGCTGAAGCAGTGTCTCGGATTCTGTTTACAGGTCAAGAAGGTGGCCTGGGGCAGGCTCCCTTGCTTGTAGGTGTCTTACTGGTGTTGATGGCTGTGGTCCTTGCATCTCTGATGTATAGGTAAGAACACTGCCAACCTGATCCTCATCCATTATTACTACCAACCACTCTTCCTTCAGGGGTGACAGAACCACCGCTCCCTTAGAGGAAGCATAGTGTCCAGGAGAGTCCAGGTGGGGAAGTCAGACAGGCCTTGGCTGCAGGCTTCTTGTGGTACCTTTAAATTTCTGAGGGTACCTGGTATTTGAAGCTATGTGGGCAAGCCTCCTGGGGTGGAGTGTGAATCAGTTGATGACGCTGCTGTAAATACTAAGAGTGGGTTAGAGGTCAGCCATTTGGCTCAGTGGGAAGCCCTTGCCACCAAGGCTGACCACCTGAAATCAATCCCTGGTGCCCACAGGATAGGAGAGAACAAATTCCCCAAAATTTCCCTCTGGCCTCCACATGCGGACTATGGCCCATCGCTCCCCCCCCCCCCCCCCCCCCGCACCCAGGAGTAAAATAAAAGTGTAAAATTAAAGAAAGAATTGGAAAGTTGGAGTGAAGCAAGCTATTCACCTATGAGAAAAGTAGATCCAGCAGGATGTGGTGGTGCACACCTTTAGATTCAGCACTCAGGAGGCAGAGGCAGGCAGATCTCAGTGAGTTCAAGGCCAGCCTGGTCTATGGAGCGAGTTCCAGGACAGCCAGGGCTACAAAAAGAAACTCTGTCTCGAAAAACCAAAAATAAACTGGGTCGTGGTGGCGCACACCTTTAATCCCAGCACTAGGGAGGCAGAGGCAGGTGGATCTCCGTGAGTTCAAGGCCAGCCTTGTCTCCAGAGCGAGTGAGTGCCGGGACAGTTATCTCAAAAAGGGTGAAGGGTGAGATGACAGATTCCCCAGGTTGCTAGAGGTGCTAAGGACCTCAAGGTGGAGAAACCTACAGAGGTAAGGGGGAATGAATGGCGGTGGCGGCTAGAGAGACGAGAGGATAAGCACCAGGTAGAGTGGGGGAGTAGGGAGAGCCCAGGAACCCTGGGGTGTGGATTTGCACTGGCAGGCTGCCATCGCTGACCACTTTCCCTTCTTCTCTCCACACCAGGCGCAGGCTTGGGAAGCAGGGGCCTGTTTCCCAAACGCCGAACGGCAGCACCCACTGGCTGCGCCTGCCCTCAGTCTTCCGCACTTGCCACACTGGTGAAAACAGCCCGCTCCTAAGTGGGCAGCAGGTCTGAGTACCCTCATGAGTTTCCTGGGGTTGGCAGCAATGCCTGCATCCCTGAAGTCTTCCCTTCGAGGCTAGCGAATACCTGAAATAAATTCTCAGACCCTTGCACTGGGGTTTTTGTTCTGTTTTGTTTGCTCATGAATCTGTCTCTAGAGGGGTGAAAGTATAAAAAAAGAGATGTGTTAATCACTTAACAGATGTCCGGGTAATGGAAAAAGGTACTTTATTAGGTGAGGCACTTTCCGTGTGTGTGTGTGTGTGTGTGTGTGTGTGTGTGTGTGTGTGTGTGTGAGAACAGTGAGGTGGCACCAGATAATAAATACTATGAAGATGCTGAAGCACCCTTCTGGGCTGACGGGAGGGTGTGGCAGCAATGTACAGAGCATAGAGGGACATCTCCAGGAACAGGGAGGTAGGCTCAGGGCAGAAGGTACCCTCAGCTCCAAAAGCCAAAGAAGCTGTAGGTATTCTGAGCTGGGCCCATAAGCATAGGCATCTGGTTCTTGTGGGTGATCTTGATCTGAAAGGGAAGGAAACATTATTTGGAAGCCTGTCCTGGTGCCTTAGAGACATTAGGGTTCTGGGGTGAGTTGTTGGGGTGTACTGAGGAACTGGGAGTTTGGGAAGAATGGTGCATAGAGGAACATAGAGCGCCAGGAGGAAGAGAAGACACTGCAGAAGGGAGACTTGGGTTCCACAGTGCCTAAAGGTCCAGCTTCTGCAGGCCTCGGCAATACTCACTGTACAGGGTGCCTGCATCCAGGGCTCCCCATCAACTTGCATGGGGAGGGTTTTTGTGGTCCTGTGGGAGACCAAGATAGATGAGTTAACACTGTCTTACCAACCAAAACGTTAAAGCTCTGGCTTTCTTAGGTTGGCTTTGAGACCTTCTGTCATGGAGAACAACCTAAGAAAGCGGTTCCCACCATTCCCACGAACCACCTGCCACCTTCCTCTCCTCGGGAGCCCAGGCCAGGGTCTTCCTTACCGGAATGTGATCTCGGAGCACTTGGCCAGCCGGTGTCCAGCATTCTTGAGTCTGGTATAGATCTGGCCCATCTCAATCACATCCTCTATTCCTACCACTTCCAGCCGCTTGTCACTCATGTCTGGGGGTAAGAAGCACAAAGAAGCGGGTGAGGGTCACACCATCCCCTCAGGTCTGACAACTTCAGCTCCCAGGGGGGCACTCGTCTCACCTTGCACACTGGTTTTCAGGATATCAGGGTCTGTGATTATTTTGGCCACACTGCCTAGTGCCTGGTTGATAGTACAAGTATCTCTATGAGGTCTCCTGGTATCACCCCAGAGGTTGGAGCCACCATGCATGCTTGGGATATTCAGTACTGCAATGCCTTCAAGGGACTGGTCACTGAGATCCAGCTGCTTCCCACAGATCTGAGGGGAGAGGGACAAAACTACAGCTAGAGAGGGCATAGGTTCTCACCTTATAGCTTTGTCATGAAATGTGGCCGCTCCTTCTGGGATTAAGAGGTGTACAAGAGAAGAAAGTGTGTGTGGGGTCATATATATGTAAATTTATATATTATTTCTCAACATAGTAGTTTTTTTTTTTCTCTGTAGCACTGACTGTTCTAGAACTTGCTCTGTAAACCAGACTGGCTTGAGAAGCAGAGACCCACCTAGCCCTATCTTCTGAGTGCTAGGATTAAAGACTTGTGCCACCTAAGAAATGTATCTATTAGCCCAGCACAATGGCACATGCTTTTAATTCCAGCACTTGGGAGGCAGAGGCAAATGGATCTCTGTGAGTTTGAGGCCAGCCTGGTCTACATATTGAGCTCCAGGATAGTCATATCTACATAGTAGAGACCTTGTGTAAAAAAAAAAAAAAAAAGGTTATTTATTGTCTATGAGGGGATGGGGGCGCATATATGTGCACTCATGTAGGAAAGAGGACAATTTACAGGAGTTGGTCCTCTCCTTATGCCATGTGAGTCATGGGGATTGAACTCTGGTCATCGGGCTTGGCAGCAAGCCCTTTACCTGCTGAACCATCTCACCAGCCCAGGAACTAGTATATCGTAAGGACTTGGCAAGTCGGGGTTGGAGAGCTGGGTGATCAAAAAAGTATAGGTCCACACATGTGTGACATTCCCAGGGGCTTCTGTGTAGGACGAAATTTGAATATGAGAAAATGAAAAACTCGGCCTAGTCTACAGAGCAAGTTCCGGGACAGCCAAGAACAGCTAAGCTACAAGGAGAAACCCTGTCTTGAAAAACAAAACAAAGAAAGAAAGAAAATGAAAAACTTGTTATCTAAGAATTTAGGGCTTTGGGGCAGGAGAATTGCTGCAAGTTCCAGGCCAGCCTGGACTACAATATGAGACCCTGTCTCCAAAAAAAAAAAAAGTTAAGAAGATGTGGAGATGTGGGTTCAGTTGGTATTATCATACACACCTCAACTGTCAAAGACTCTTCCAGCTTCTTGCATGTGGAGAAGATGGATTCAGATGTCGCAAATTCCAAGTACCACAGTTTGTTTTTCATTCTGCATCCAGCCCAACACAAGGCCCAGAAGGGAAGAGACAAGTTACACAGCGACAAGAAAAGGTACCAACTTCCCAACTCCAAGAGTGACAGTAGTGGCTTTGGTTAGGGATTTCCTAGCCAGTGTTTCTGCTTATATCTAACTATCTGGTGATAAATTTGGTTACAAATCAAGTCTTTTTTCCCCCTTTGAGACAGGATTTTTCTGTGTAGGCCTGGCTGTTCGGGAACTCATTTTGTAGACCCAGGGCTGGCCTTGAACTCAGAGGTTCTGCCTCCCGAGTGCTGGGATTAAAGGTGTGCTCACTACGCCCAGCACAAATCCAGTCTTGACACTGAGTGTCCATTCCTTCTCTCTCTCTCTCTCTCTCTTAAATATCTTATCATTTTGTGTGTGAGCTTACTCATGCATACGGAGGTCAGATGGTAAACCTGCAGTAGTTAGGTCCCTCTTTCTACCACGAGAGTTCCGAGGACCAGAATCAGGTCATCAGGCTTGGGTGTAGATACCCGCTGAGCCGCCCTTCTCCCTCTGTGTTTCTTCCTTACCTGCTGTTGAACTTCTCAGGATACTTCTCTCGCATGACGTGGAACTGGTGAGCAATCGAAGCATCCTGGGGAGTAACAAGTATATTTTAGAGACCAGACTCCTCCCTCTTCAGGGCTCTTTCTTTACTAAGTTCTCTTTTCCTTCTTTCCTCCCCCTTACGGGACAGGGCATGACATGCCCAGAGCTTTTTGCAACCCATACCACTATGTACCCAGCTCCCAATTTCCCTCCTGCGTCTCTTCCTTTCTCATCTCCAGCTGCTTTCCTTCCTCTTTTGCCCACACTCTTCCCTTCTCTCCCACTGACCACACCGATGGAGAAGTAGTTATTGATGATTTGAGAGGGGATTGGATCGCTCTTCTGTCCATTTTCTTGGGGTATCACTTCCAGGGACCATCGATCGAGATACACCACCTTACTTATCTCTATGTCCTTGAGAATCTTTGCCAAATTCTCACCTTCATAACCTAGAGACGGGAAAGACAAGCTTGCACCAACCCCTACCTGAGCCTCAGAGAGCCCACTCTGAGCCCATCCGCACAGATTCCCGAGGACCCTCTGCCTTTGTTCTGTAGGAGCCCCCAGCCCTTTGCCAGTGAAAGGGCAAGATGCCCAAGCTCCGTGAACCAACGATAAAGTCAGCCTCTTGCTGCCTCTTCCACACCGTTATGGAAAATAAACATTCCCAAATGTGTGTCCATATATAGACATTATTCCAAATACATCTTTAATAGTGAAAGAAAGGAAAATGCTGAAGAAGATGAGTGACAGCAAGTTGTGTGGCTCATGTCTACAATCCCAGCACATGGGAGGCCGAAGGAAGACTACTGAAAATTTAAGGCCATCCTAGGCTACATGGGAGTTCAAGGCCAGCCTACGCTGCACAATGACACCTTTCCTCAAAACACAAAAACATAGTCAGGCAGTGGTGGCACACACCTTTAATCCCAGTTCTTAGAGGCAGACACAGGCAGATCTCTGAACTTGAGGCCAGTCTGGTCTACAGATTGAGTTCCAGGATGGCCAGGACTGTACAGAAAACAAAATTAAAATAAATTTGCTACTTTTGGGTTTTTTGGTGGGTAGGGTTTCTCTGTACAGCCTTGGCTGTCCTAGAATGTACTCTGTAGACCAGGCTGGCCTTGAACTCAGAGATCCCACTGTCTCTGCCTCCCAAGTGCTGGGATTAAAGGTGTGTGCCACCATCTCCCAGCAATAACATTAAATTTTCTATTTGGTTAAATAAATGCAAGCCTAAAAGAAGAACGGCAAGGGACAGAAGATATGCCTCTGTGATAGAACAAGTATGTGTCTACCATGTGCAAGGCCCTATGTTCCATCCCCAGCATTGTAAAATAAAGAACTACAAAAAAAACAACAATTCACAAACTGGAAAAAAGGAATCACCTATAACAGATTACATTTTCCAGTATTAAAGAAAAATGCTTCAAAAGCTTGGGGAAGGGCTGGAGAGATGATGGCTCAGCTGCTAAGAGCACTGGCTGCTCTTCCAGAGGACCGGAATTCAGTTCCCAGCATCCACATGGCAGCTCACAACTGTCTGTAACTCCAGCTCCAGAGGATTCAACACTCTCACACAGACACACACAGGCAAAATACCAATGCAAGCGAAATAAATATTTAAAGAAAAAAAAAAAAGAAACCTTGGGGGCATAGCTTAGTTGTAGTGCTTGCCTAGCGTTGTGTGGGGCCCAAGGTTTAATCCAAAAACAAAACAAAAATCAAAGCCAAAACAAACTTATATATCAGTGCATTGAAGCCCTTAACACAACAGTAACACAGAAGAAGAAATACCAGTATCAAAGAACCTCCCTTTCATGGTAAGAGATTTTGCAGATGTGATTACAGTAGTAATCTTGAACGGGTGATTATCCTGGGTTATCTGGATAGCCCTAAAACAATCACCATCATGATTATATGTGCATGGAAGCAAGGGCCAAGTGTGGAAGGACAAGCCTGAGATCCTAGCACTCAAACTGCCTCGGGTTTAAGGCCTGTCTGTGCTACACAGTGAGTTACACAG